ATACAGTTACATGAAGAAATGAAATTGTACAAATTAACAGTGTTTACAGGTGTCTCAAGGGCCATTAAGTCATTAACACTTATCTTCCCCACGCCGTTCACATGACGAGGTCGGCGGGTTTTGGTCCTGAGAGCTAGGGGAGGGGAGTAAGATAGTCTTTGAGTGATGTTCTTGGATTGAGTACACGCAGCACCCATCACTGTAATTAGGAATTTGAGGCGACATGTCGTCATCACTTGAGGTTGGCGTTGGCCACGGCAGAGAGAGCGTTTGTGTCAGGGTTTTCTGACAGCATAACACTGGATCCGCTAGCCGTATAGTCACGGCCACGGCCGTTGCTAGTATCCGTTGGCGTAGGCCTTTAGAGAATCTTGTTGGTGTCCGGTAGACCGCCCGAAATGCTTCGTTGGCATCAACCCGGTCTACCGGACCAACAAGATTCTCTAAAGGCCTACGCCAACGGATACTAGCAACGGCCGTGGCCGTGACTACACGGCTAGCGGATCCAGTGTTATGCTGTCAGAAAACCCTGACACAAACGCTCTCTCTGCCGTGGCCAACGCCAACCTCAAGTGATGACGACATGTCGCCTCAAATTCCTAATTACGGTGATGGGTACTCCATGTACTCAATCAAAGAACATCACCCAAAGACTCTCTTACCCCCTCCCCTAGCTCTAAGGACCAAAACCCGCCCACCTCGCCACGCGGGGGGCGTGGGGAAGATGAGTGTTAATGACTTAATAGCCCTTGAGACACCTATAAACACTGTTGATTTGTACAATTTCATTTCTCCGTGTAACTGTACTGGCCTGACGAAGAATTACCGAAAGCACGTGTTTGCCAACTTGATATTTCAAGTGGCGTCGAACCGTTGGCCCCCTCGCTTGCCGTCCATCTAGTTCACCACTAAGCCGCCGTTTTGTTCGAATCAAAGGACAGCGCATAGTGCGCATCGTGAAGAAGGCTGGTCGAGCACCGGAGCGTTCTGTTTATTATTTTGAGCTGTCGAACTCGTGCAGGAGTCCATCGTTAGCAATGATAGCGACAACAGAAAAGCAGCCATTATAGCACGTGCTGGCCAATCACCGATCGAGGGCGCAGGGCTGGATAAGACTGCTCAGGGCTCTGTACGCCGGCACCAGATCAATAAATCGATTGACTGAGTTCTCATCGGAGGCCTGGGCTCCAATCAATTCTCGGCCTGTTTTGTTTCCGGCGTGGGCGATTATCCCGATGGCTGCGAAGTTAGACTCATGACCCATTTCGTAAGCGTGGGCAACGACTTTTGATAATTCGTCAGCAACGGTGGGGTGAAGGACTCCGATTAGCCGTCGGTAGACTGGATCATATGTTGATAACAGGCAGAACGGAGAAACAAAAGAGAGTGATCAAGTGAGCATGAATTGAGGGATAACAGAAATGTCTGCCAGGGGATAGGCTCAGTTGTTCGATGGTAAGGCACATTCTCAAGATGGAGTGCCGTGGAATATCCAGCTGGATACCGTATCTTCCTACGTTCACTACTCAAAAGTGTCGTTTGTGCCGCCGAACATCCTCTGTATTTTCCTGCTTTCTGTCAGCTTACAGTCCGGCATGCTGCTCCACCCGTAACTCCCCTTCATTACCACCACTCCTGTATGACACGACCGACAGCTAATTGGGGTCATTCACCCTACCGTTGCAAATTCGTCGCACAGCCAGCTTATGTTTGTATATGCGCGATCCTAGAATGCGTCCAGTCTGGCCTTTGTAGTTACAAGGACAGTTCTTGGCCTGGGATGCGATTGCTCCTCGGCATTTAATCGGTCCTTTTATTTTCAGGACCTTGTTGCACATGGGGGCTTTGGGCTGGTGTTTCTAGTGTCCCGGTTGATGACTTGACCACCTGGTTGTGAGTGGCCAAGTCCCGTGAAAGGACAATCGTGCTTGTGCCAGCCAACAGTTCGACCGTCGCGTCCGACGATGTCCACCGTATGTTCCACAGCAGAGTGAGAGCGGGACGGTGACTTGTGCGAAAATTTAGTTTATAGTGGCATTAGACTTGCGCGGCATCTGCCGCACTCTCTCCTCCCTATTCCGCACTTGGGAATGGTGTCAAGGCAGAGTGAAGACGAGTGGAGGCGGGGGAGGGCGCAAATGGATGGCACGGTCGAGTCCGTACCTTGACGCTTCACCCCACATCCCTGGCCCACACAACAAATAATCCGGTTTTTGATTCACAACAACAGTGGGGGGTAGCAGAGCCCCAGTGTGCTCGACGCACGCCGTCAAACGGGTTCGCCACCGCATTCCGAAATGCTGGCATTTGTTGTGGTGCGCAACTCCGATAACGCCTGCCAAAGTCCAATATGGCCCCCGTGTTGGTCCAGCGCATCTAACGCGTGGCCCGTACGGGGGTCAAGCCACAGCGTCCCATTCAACACCAGATAACTGAAAGGCTCAGCCAGTTAACAAGCGTACGGTATAGTGGAACGTTTATTCCTCACAACAAACAGACTGACGCGCTTTCAGACTCTCACGGCGTCTTAAAAGCCGTGACTTGGTGGTCTGCAAACTGACGGGATAACTCGGTCCTCTCAGGACGGAGAATCAGGCTGCAATGGCTCCTTTCTGGCGTGGCCTATATGGCACATCGACTCCGATGGAATCCGAGCTGCACTCCCCTCATTTTTTTGAAAATGTAGTCCATTTTCTACGGATTAAGTCGTGCGACACACGCGTAGACGGGATGTTTGGCATTGCCACCCATTGCGTCCTGACTCTTTCTTTCTCTCGACTACCGGCCGAGGAGGTTGAAGAGAGAGAGTGCGACAGATACCGCTTATGTCTGCTGTCGGTATAAACTAATTTACGCACAAGTCCCTGTTTTGCACCCACCACGATGTGGAGAAAACAGTGGACATCGTCGTTTACGGCTATCGAACTGCCTCGAAAGTGCAGTGTATCCAGTTGTGCGACCATACCACCTTGCAGAGAACCATCAGAGAAATTAAGCTGTGTTGCGCCAGGCCTGTATTTGCACGAGTGACTGGCGGGAAATACCATACGTTACGAATGCGCTATAATTTCAAATAGTGCACTTTTAGCGGGCAGCCATCATCATCGGTCTGATATCATTGTTCAAGATCTCGCTGCCTCAATGTCATTCAGCCCTTGCAGCAACCCGTCCAGACGCGCTGACCTGAAGATACTTGACCGACTTCAGCTCCGACACAATTGCGTCCACACAGCGTCGCGGCTACCCATGAGCCACTTGAATGCGCCACCCCCTACAACTAGCAAAGCAAGGCACTGGGACACCACCCTTCAGCAAATGCAACACCCACCGATTGGTGACCACTTGAGCTTGGCCCACAAGCCTACAAAAACGGCCGCCGCCACTGTCCCATGGACTCTCAGGCATGACTGGACGCAGTCAACACCAGCCCTGGCTTCGCTAGTGGCCCCTGCCGCCTGATAGAACAACTCCGGGTTTTGTATACAATAAACCCCTCATTACGGAGCCTTTCGTCTTCTCCTTCCAAAGCTAGGATTTGTCCTGATTAGGGTAGTTCTCAGAACACAAATTCACACCGCTTAGTCGCAACATACTCACAGAACAGAAGAGGACAGACGTAAAGACATCAAGATTTCTCCCAACTGTTTGTTAGTTCTATCGGCCCCTTAAACTGCCGAGACGGTCTGGTATGGTTAGAAACACGGAGAGGTTCACTTTATGAAGACAACCTAGAATTTCAATTACCCTGAGATTTTATATTCCACACGGATCTTTTGAAAAACAGAATGTACGAATCAAAGTGACTTAAGAAGTCTGAACGGACTAATTTAGTTACTGACGTCCACACCGGAAGCAAAGCGGGCCGAGGATTGATTGAAGCCTGGACCTCAGATGGGAACCCGGTCAATCGATTTATCGATCTGGCGCCGGCGTACGGAGTCCTGCGCCTTTGATAGGTGATTGGCCAGCAGTCCTATAATTTCCGCTTGTTCTGTTGTTGCTATTATCTATGACAATGGACTCCTGTACGAGTTCGAAAGTCCGTGTTCGCGCACAAGCCGCCGGTACCACGTTCATTACTTTGGACGGTCGGCGGACGTAGCGGCTTGCGATGGCCGAACTACTAATTACCTCGTCATGAAAAGCGAGTTCTTTGGTTAACTACCGCACAATTTTCCTGCCGCTCGTTCATAGTGATTCCGCATCAAGGTGTCTGCGTGCCGACCTCAGCGACACCCAGACACTGATTTAGAAGTGAAATCACTGAGGGAGGCGTCAGCGCCTTGCATGACAGTTTCGCGAACGCCGTCCTGAAGACCTGTCGGAGGATCGGTGCGGCGATGACTTTAGCCTTTCCGTCGTGACAGTTTCCTCATTTCAGCATCTGCACTATGCGAAGCCTAACAGAGTCTTTAAAGGATTTGGGGGCTAAGCAGACACTAACGTCTCGTCTGCCACAGGGACCGGAATGTGGGAATGTCTCGCTCTCTAGAGAGCCTGTGTTGAAGTCTCCGTCGTGCAGACATTTTTCATCGATGGGTGTCGAAACAAAGATCATAGTCATTACTGCCAGGACACACTGCTACCTTGGGGAAGGGGAGAATTGTGAATAGCGCGTGAACTAGTTTACTGTGGGTGGGGGGAGGGACTGGCGCACCACTGATCCACTCTTCCCCTGTCCGTCACCTTGTTGGCATGCCGCAATGACTGGAGGTGAACGCGTGGGACAATGAGTCATCAGACATTCGACCCCGTTTTATGCGTGCTGTCCGCTCTGCAGACATGGGCACCTGCCCGTTGACAGGGTGATGGCCGCTTTGTGGGTCGTGCACGCCAGCGTTAGCCGTTTTGTAAGCCATCTGTACTGAGCTTGGCCAACTGTCGAAAACACTGTCGAACGAGGCAACACTTCTTAAGGGCATTGGGGTGATTGTTTCAGGCTGATGCTGAATCCAGTGGGTCATTTGTAGTCTAGATCTCCCATGCGTGTCCTCGGCGTGTCAACGGCAGCTGCACGGAATAGTTGCAGTAGTCATATGGAGGGACGAGACTTGGAGTCGGATGTGGTTCCTCGTCTCCTCCGCCGCTTCCGTCTGATTAATGACCGATTCCACTGCTGCAATCATGTTGCCAGGTTTGGCGTCAGCTGTGTTGAATGAGGCCTCGTGTTGTAAAACCCGTACTTGCTCCTTCGTCAGTTCCTTTGACGACAGATTGTGTACCAGTGTGCCGCCTCTGGATGACTGTGGATCAGGCAGTTTGTGGAATTTGTTCCCCAGTGCTGCATCGCGTGTCGTCCTTTGCTCACGGGCTTGTTTAGTCACCATCTGCTGAAGCAGATTTGTGGCGTTCTCGCCCATGAACTCGCAGCATCTGGCCTTCCCTTGGTCAATTCTCTGACGGTATTCGCGAAGCCTCGCATGGCGATCTTGAAGGAGCACGCAGATCATACGTCCTACGTGCTGAAATACTGCGCGTCTGGCTAACTCCGTGTTTAGCGGGGGTTTGTATGAAACAAACTTCGGCAACACGTTGTTTTTGAGCCACCTGTGCAGAAACCGCATCTGAGCATAAGTAGAGGCCTCTCGAAGAGCAAACGTTTCCCATCATCGGGCCGATCGGAGCGCGTCGCGCCCAAACAAATCGCCGATGCAAGCGAAGATGCGAGTTCCAGTAACCAGTTGGTCAGAAGAAGGAGAAGAAAAAGAAGAAGAAGAAGAAGAAGAAGAAGAAGAAGAAGAAGAAAGAAGAAGAAGAAAAAGAAGAAGAAGAAGAAGAAGAAGAAAAAAGAAGAAGAAGAAGAAGAAGAAGAAGAAGAAGAAGAAAGAAGAAAAAGAAGAAGAAGAAGAAGAAGAAGAAGAAAAAAAAGAAGAAGAAGAAGAAGAAAGAAGAAGAAGAAGAAGAAGAAGAAGAAAGAAGAAGAAGAAGAAGAAGAAAGAAGAAGAAGAAGAGGAAGAAGAAGAAGCAATCGCTGGAACAAGGACTTAATTCGCCTTCGACTATTTTCTGCCATTGTATCTGATGATGAGTTCAAGTGAGACTCCGAAACGTCAGGCTAATAAAGCCCTTGTTCCAGCGATCGCTTCTTCTTCTTCTTCTTCTTCTTCTTCTTCTTCTTCTTCTGATGAGTTGCAGTAGTTTTCCATGTAGACGAGCTAAACGTTTGCTACATTTATCTTTTCATTGATATACATACGAAAGGTTAGCCAAAATCCTTAAATGCGTTTTCGATTAGGAAGAATTTCCTAAGTAGGTTGGCGGTAGTAATTATCACTCGACATAATAGAATGATATTTCGGACTCTCCAGAATGTTGGCTTTTGAATGCATTTCTTTTCGACCACTTGCAAAATCTGCATTCGGCGAAAACCGACTACTTAAGTAACGCGCATTTTTCACATTTATGTTCGCTGAGTATAAATTCAAATATATTTCATAGGAGATATACACAAAATTTGGTTTCTTTTACTCCTTTCGTAGCAAGTCACGTCGTCTTCACGTTTTTATACTCGAGGAAAGTATACCTTTATGCTTTAAAATTTTCTAATTATGAGATTTTTCAAGACCGTTCAATGTGCATTCACGCAAGCATAGTACCTGTCCGTTTTTAATTCTCCTCATGAAATATGCAGTGTAGTCCGCGTCCATGGCAAAATTGTATGAACTCTAGATGGTATCTTTTCAAATGCAAAGAGAAATATATGGCTTCCCTTACGCGGGAAGTATACACATTGTGGAATGAAATCGCTAACGTTAATGCGACGACTGAAGGAGCGCAAAATTATTCGGAGTCGATGGGAGTAGAGTTATTGTCAACTCCATTCTCTCTACTGACTATTCAGTTCCCTCTTGTAAATACAAAGAATTACCTCTATTTAGACCACACTGCAAAAGGACGCTTTGGCTTGACTAGGTGATACTGCAACGAACGTTTTGGCGCTTAATATCAAGCCCGTATGATTAGAAGTTTGGAAAGTGTGAAAATGGCAATTCGCAGAACAATATCAGTCGCCTGTATTTCGACGATTAAAAGCTTTATAGTTTGTCCAAAAATAATCCCGATGTATATGGTGGATAAACAGAGGGCTTCATCGGATTGATTTTGGAAAAGAGTCCCGGACGAAATTTGACGCATCCGTCTGCAGCTTACAGTCGAATAAATTCTCCTCATATATGCAGTTTGTCTAAAAGTCTGCTTTTGTTAAATTCTTTCCCGAAATGGCGTCGCAGTTTTGTTGATTATTCCTCGGTGCCATTGGCATTCAGTTGTCCCTCTCAGCTCTGTCTTCGTTGCATTCTGATCGGACTGATAGTTTGCATCTACTACACCTGAACACGCCTTGACAACGCAGAACAGTTATGTGATCAAAAATTTCCTTCGAACGCGAAAATGCCACGTGTTTGTGACTAATAAGACCATTCGAGTGCCTTTTTGAGGTGATCCTATTTCGACATTTTTACATATGCCCTCTACCATAAATCCTTGATGTATTCGGCAACGTTGGTTGCTTCCCAGTGTTCCGAGCTGACAGTTTCGGCACTACTTTTTCGCCAAGCACTTTTGAACTGTACCTCGCGCATTATTTCCCGCCGAGAAAAGGAAGTCATCTGGTGCTCTGAAGATCGCATGAAGTAACCTTATATGTAAATGGTTTCTAGTTCCTGGAGTCCAGCTGCGTGGGGAAGATTTGGCGCCCGGGTTCTTCGCTTCTCGTGACCACCTTCGAAATCTTCATTTACGTCCTTCTTGATTGCTTTTCATATCCATTACAGCTAGTCTTCCTGTTATATCATGCAAACTTTTAATGACTAATTTTGGGGGTGTTTATTTTTAATTGGATAGAGTGAAGCGTTTTTGCCAGCTAGTGGTAAGTCTCTAGTGGACATTCCGGTTCTCTGCGAGAGGATCACATAAACGGGGGCGTCCAGAGAAACGACTTTCGTCTGGGAACAGTCAGCCGAGGGAAATATTGCCATCGGTGTCAACGGTGGTGCTTTCTCTTTCCCATCGTTCCAGTCGAAAGGGGCGACACCAACAATATTTACCAAAATTACTGAACGATGGGTCGATGTTGCAAAATATTTGAAGCATTTTGGCCCAGGTATGGATTTGAAACAGGTTTACTGTCACCAATAACATCCACGACAGCTTTCAGTTGGGAGGCTGTCGCGAAAGTTACTGACTATTTACGTACGTTCTAAATTGTAAAACTCCATCCCCAGTAGACAGATTCGCCTAAGCAGAGTTGCAGGGATTATGACAGTTCGACTGTCGCGTCTGACGATTTCCACTGTATGATCCACAATAAGGTGGAGCATGCACGGTGGCTTGCGCGTGAGCTTGGACTTTCACCGCATCTACCACACTCTCTCCTCTTCCCCACCTGGAGCCGGTGTCAAGACAGAGTTAAGGCTACCGGAGGCAAGGAGGGCACAAGTGAATGGCACGACCGAACCCGCACCTTGGCGATATCACTCCACCCCCTCTGGTTGACAAAAAATACTTGACCAGGTTTTTTACCAATAGCAGCAACAAGGACAGCATGAATGACTGGGTTGCCATGCACACGACCTGTTTACACAGCGGGAGCGCAAGCACATCTACCGTCAGAAAATCAGGTACCGTAGAACTGCCAACGCACACCAGGCCGCAAGGACTACAGTTTGTTGATCATGGCATAGCAGACGCTTGCAAACCTTGAGTCCAGAAGGATGACACACAGCCTTCCTTTGGCTCGGACCATCACCCCAGTGAAGAGCATCTGAAAATATTTTAGGATTATAATCATAAAGCGTTTTCCTTATTTGTTTCCTGTACAATGCACAGCTGCCTCTGTCGATTTCCCGCATGCCAATCAGCAATCTAAAAGCATATTCGTTAATTTTTAACCATGTTATGAAGCCAGTTATTTGTCAGACTCGAGAGACGGATAAAAGTTTTACTTCCTGTCTCCGCCTTGTTAATAATGTTTTCATGAAAGACAGTGTTCGAGCTTGACATTTTCGTGTAATTAGAAGTGATCAATTTCCCACACACCGGGTACAAAACGCAGTATTCGAAATTTCCCAAAAGGGTTGTTAAATTTTCATGGGATTTTACAGGGGTTTCTTCGACGGTCCAGTTTTAACCAGCAAAATGGGCCGAGATACCACGGCACAGTACTTAACTGACAGCCAACAGGCCGTGCCCATTGACGTTTCTTTTGGAAGGTACATTACAGCTTCGTGCTGCGTACTACAGGCAGATGGTAAGCAAAAACCCGCGTTTTCTGGGGCGTCACTTTCCACATACACCACAGACGCGTTTCTGAGTTTCGTTCAGATGGTTCGTGGCGGATTTTATCTGGCAGTCCGGCCGACGCGAACGCGGACGTCCGCCAGGTGCTCCACGACGTGGTTGGAGGAGGACGGTGACTTGCGCGTGAGCTGGTTTTATAGTGTGGCAAACTTACACAGCATCTGCCGCGACCTCCCTGCTTCGATGGCAGGGCAACTGGAGGCAGGCTCCGGAGCAACGACTGACAAGTTTAGACAGCCTGTCTACGCGTGCCAGGCTTACAAGGCGGCGTTTCGTATCTCGTCCAAGTACAAGTATAATTGAGACCGCACTTCGAAGGAGCCTCAAAGGACGGTCGCGCAAAACAACTGAACAATCAGCCGTCTCAGCAGTTCAAGTACTTGTAAGTGATAAACCCATTAGTTGGGCACAGTGAGTAGGCCATCCAGGAAGACAAAAGTGGCAAGGAGCCGAGTGGAGGTTGTTCGGTTGTGGAAGTTGATAGAAGCTAGGTATAAGCCGTCTTCAAGCGATTTACTGAGACCACGTCGGTGCGGCCTCCACGGTCAATTGTAAAATGCTTGTCCGTGCGAGATAGTACTCGAAATTGGCCGTCATAGGGCTGTTGTAGTTGCCGACGAACGCTATCTACGCGGATAAATATAAAAGAACATGTTACTAGGTTCGGGTCGATGTACGGCTTACTTGTTGGAGCACGTAGAGGAGTGCCTCGAAGATGATGGCGCACTCTTTGCACATAATCGCTGGGATCCAAGTCGGCTGAGCTTTGAGAGTACCCGAAAAAATCACCGGGAATCCGTAGGGTGGTACCGTAGACAGGTTCGGCAGCGGATGAATTCACTCGGTACATTGCCACTTGCTATTCCCCGGACTCCACTTACGCCCAATAACCCTGCATCTTCCCTTATCCCACAGACTCCTCCCCTTACGCGCAGCGGTCGTCATGTCCGTTTTCCCGACCGTTACCAACTTGTACAATATGCATAACACTCCCACCTTTTCCTTCCATTAACAATAATTGTTCTTGGACTCAGTTCTTCTAGGAGGGGAAGTATTGTAGTGATAAACCTATTAGTTGGGCACAGCGAGTAGGCCATCCAGGAAACGAAGATAGCAGTATTCCAACAGTTACAAACTAATAAATAAGAAAAATGTCGTCAGCAGGTAAAAATGCACGTGCTTGTTCAATGTCTCATTCAAAGTTGTGTCAAGTTCAAAACAGACTTAAATGTCACTACAGACTCTAGAACCGAACCACAAAATAAAGTCAAACTGACATTTCATGCCCTGTATTTAGGCCAAATATCTGGCCGGACCCCAGAGTGATTGTACGTTGATCTGATAGGAGCAGGCAGAATACGGGCTGGTATCTGAACTAGACTCGCGTTGAGATCACAGGGACTTCCTGCCTGCTAATGCCGGCTGATGATGAAAATTAACCCTGAAGCACCACCCTATATTCTGTGGGCAAACGTTTTCCACCGAAACCAGTTCGGAGTCTTATCCTGGAACATAAGGCTAGGCGTGGTCGTTGGCTATGAACGAACACTGCCTTATGACCGATCTCTGGAGTGATGGTCTGTCTCGCGGAGACACTCTAAGGGCCCTTCTTGGTGGCTCTTCTTGGATCAAAACTTTCTGAAGGAAGGACAGTCACTGTGTGAGCCCGACTTCTGTCTTCGCTTCACGCCCGCCTACTCCGGTAGTCGGTGTAATTTTGCCTTCGTTTCAATCGCCCTGGCCAAGTACACTCTGCATACCCCTCTGCCCCTCAAAATCCGCAACTCCTAAAACCCCTCCTGGCATTCTATCTCCTCATTAACGGATTAAACGGCTTCTGCAATCCCCTGCGGCAGTACCAAGGAGTGTGTCCATGTGGGTTTAATGGGAATACGTAATCCTACTAATTAACCTAATTATGCGGCTTCAAGGAGTAATAATGTTGAGTAGTTGATAATCCGCATTAGCTAGTCGGTTTTCTGTGAAAACGGAAAATTAGTTTTTATGTTGGGCAAAGTTGCCATGCTAAGCCGCTAATAATTTTCACTACTTACGTTGTCTTGGCGTACTCACTTCGGTAATCCGATAGTGATGGGAAGAACTGTCGGATTAAGATGTCGCCCTTCACCTGTTTTCCTTGCAACAAGGTAGACTTACGGTATTGCCCACTGCCCTTAATCAGCAGTTTATAAATGCTGACTTGTCCTTTGCCGGTTTTCCGCTGGCTCATGACGCAGCTGTGAGGGGCCCGGCTCATCAGTGCGTCCCTCAACATTCTAGTGCTTTTTGATACAAGCTTTAGTTGTCAATGTTTGACTTTCAGTTTCTAAAAAAATTACTATACAAGCCTGGAGTGAATTCCTCACCATAAGACATTCTCAGGTTTGATTCGAAAGCTCATATGAAGCTTTGTTTTGAAGTTTACCAGCTACAACGAAATAAAGGCATCATGTTCACATTCTGCCAATAGGCAGGCAGTAGTATATAGGCGCTGATTGATTTGTAATAGCTGCAGCTGTCAAGACTTCGGCTGGACAACGAGTGCCCAAGACTGTCCCTCGTACCATTCCCAAAGGAGCAACTGTTTGCGGAGATAAATCTTGTGCAGCGTAAGCCTCTAGGCTTAGTTGCGAACACGATTGCATTTTATGAGCCCAGAGCCGAGCAACAACTCGTTTGGTTTAAAATATTTCGAAGTTGTAGTCCGGATCTGATTCTCGGCATTACATCGAGCGGAAAATGATATTCTTGCCCGACCCGCGAGGGATCTCCATTATCTTTGCATAACTTGACACCTATGCAAAGCAAATACTCCAGTCTTTTCTCACCTGACGTGTGGGCTCCATTTACATCTACTCCAATCTCGTTATTCGGTAACCCAATGTTTTTGTGACCAAGTGAGTCCGTTTTCAAGTTGGTGCTGCAACAGAAGGGATGCTTGATCTCCCGTGTCACTATGAAGCTGTTGTCGATCGCTCTTTTTCGCATTGCGCGAATCCCTCTGTGTAAATAATGACTCAGCAATCAGCTTTACTATAATACTGCGAGGTAGCTGCTTGTGTGCAGTAAGTCATCTGCAGCCTAAGCACCTAGGTGCGTTTACGAACACAGTCGCCTCCCTTGAGCACAGAACTGGGTGACAACTCGTTTCAGAAACTCTGCTGACTTTCTCGCCCTCAGCAATTATCCAAGTGTGACGCGGCCTTGAAGCGGCAGCCCGTTTGCCACATTATGAAGCCTCCGGCGGACAAGGTCACTGGTTGTCTTAACAAGCTCGCCGCCGGCTTGAAAACAATTCAATCAACTCCTTGTCTGGAAACTGTCCGCCGAAATCTTGGCTAAGGTAAGCTGGCGTATATTTCTCATTCATACTTCCTCCAGACTTATTCCTAAGAGGAAATGAAATTAGGGAATGACAGAGACTTCTTTCCCTTTACTCCTAGAAGGTCCATTAGATAAAAATCCATCTTACCTAGATTTATGATCAAACTGCGAACAATTCGCCGCATCGCTGATTCCGCGCTGCCCCCCTTAGGCTTTCTGACAGCCCTAGTTAGTAAATGGAGGTTAACATGGTTGTCTTTGTTATAGGTATTTTATAGACCGAGTCACAGGAGATTCAGAAGACAGACTGGTGAGCGCCTGTGGGTTTTCAATAATTTCTCATCAGATTAATAAAGCTTCCTTCGTGCGGGCATCAGGGATGATGATTATTCGCCGGACGATTCGGTGGGGAACAGTAAGTTGTCGCTGGTCTCACACGAATTTCTGGCGCGTCGACAGCGGACCATGGAAGCTCCAAGGTTTACTGACTTCGTCTTTTTAACTTGTCTACAGTCAGCTTCGTTTGCTGAGGAGACACTGAAAGCCGGCTCACGATCTGAGGTGATCCAGAAGACTTTCTTGCCAAAATACACAAAGGGATTGCACCAAAACTGAACAGCAATTTAACAGCAGAAAATCGAGACATGTGGGTGATTATCGTAGAGTCAGGTGAGGTTGCACGGTAGCTTCTGCATGCTACACGAGTTAACCGATAACAATGAATTGTCGTCTTAACTATGACTCATTAGGTCTGCGATGACACGGTAACCCCCCAGGTAATGTCTGTAAGGCTGTCGTAAGCATACGCTGCTCATAGCTGACTCATCGGTCGCCAGTATAGAGGCCCTTTGCTTGACCGAATGAACGGAGCCGCCGATTGTTTTCGCCTTAGAGCCAGTTCTAACTGATTCGGATGATGCGGCGACTCCAGACAGAAGCAATTTGGCCCCAAAAGTTTCCATCCGGACCTCCGCGTAGGCCACAGTTTGGTTTCCCGATACAACGCGCAAAGCTTTTCCTCAATCTCTTAACCCTCAGATTAATCTGGCATCAAAATCAGGGTACAGCACTTCATAAAATGCGGCTCTGTCAGACACTAGCCGCGCTAATTAGATTATTTAGCAGGATGTGCTACCGGTTGAACCATGGGCCCGCAATCGCAGATGCGCCTCTCCTTATTTAAAGTCACATGACAGTCACGCTCAGCGAACCAGCTACATTACAGAGGATAAGCGACTAGGATTACTAATCAGGAAAACCACAAGGAAGCAAAACACATTCATTCTGTCCCGGCACCTTAACCCTCGCTTGACTGACATGTGACTTAGGCAGTCTTTCACACTTCAGATTGTGCTGCAAGATCTGAACGCATTTCTGTGAAACGAATTTGAAGGAGTGCAAAGATACTGCACGCTGCTCGGAAGTCCCGGCATTTTGGCAGATGGAGCTACTTCTGTTGAAAAGGAACACATTATGACTTTAAGAGATGTTGAATGGCGAAATTGACTCGCAACGAATTACTTCTCCGTCCTGCTGCTTTTGAGCTGAGAGAAAAAGTTCATCATATAACAGACGTGGAAGGGTTGCTATTTTTGTTGTCCGAAATTGAAGTAGTGCCTGTAAGTCTTACTCTGATGATTTAATAGACTTTATTACTGTTATACGCGTGCCTTCTTTGTTGAATACTTTTGAAGGCATTATGTTTGTTGGTATTTTGGTCACCCCTCTACCTGCGAATGCGCTCTAGTCCGCCTTTTCGACTTTCTTTTACAAAAACCTTCTATATTATCCTGCGAGCATCTTATTCTATTATTCGGCAATTTTAACCGCGCGAACCTATATACCCCCACAATGTTCGACTTTGATGATCTTGTCTCATTCAATACTCGTGCTGAAGCCTATCTTGATCGCTTTTTGACCAATCACTCCAGACTTTTGTAGCAAAAATAAAGCTCCGTTGTCACGTTCAGATTATTCTACGTTATTACGTCCGCAAAAATCTATTATATCTCTAAACTTGCGCTGTTAACCAAACCTGAAAGGAAGATTAAGGTTCCGCAGCACGTCCCCACAAAACATTCGCTTGCTGCAGGCTTGTATAGTTACACTATTCCCGCTCTCCCAAAACAATTGAATGCTGAGTCACGCCCTAGCAGCCTTACAACGTTTTAAAATGAAATTTTTTATATTTTCTGTCTTCTTGATATTGTTATGGTAAGAACGGATAGAGGTTCTTTCCCCTATATAAAATTATTAAAACGCAAAAATGAATTCCTTGACAGGCTAGGCTTACGTGACAGCCTTCAAGATGATACCATCTTAATAAAAAAACAGAGATTGCCAGGCAAGATGACCTGTTTGTTAATCAGTTTTTTATCTCTTCTTCCTCCCCTCCTTTTTCTCCTCCGTGTGTTGAAATTTGGAGGAATCTTAAACTTCTTACCGGACATGATAGTATACTGGCACATGTGAATGCCGATGTAGACTCTTTAAACGAAGATTCTATCTTTACTCACGATGACTCCTACCTCCCCTC